ACAGATGCCATCAACCATAAAAAAAATATATATATGTCTACATGCCTAGTGGAACAAAAGAAGAGAAATGGATGGATGCCTTACAATCCAGGCTAACAGCCCCCTGCTCTCTAGCTAATGACAGTCAAATCAGGAAATGGGTTTGGAAGTGCATGTAGAATGGTGGAAAGTGGGATGCAAAGAGATCTTTGTATGAAGTTTTTTTTTTTTATGGGCTTAGTGGGACTTTCTGATGGGAACAGTTGCAACTGAATTTGATTTAGAAATTGTGTGTGTGTGCTCTACAAATCTCCACAGAACATCCATTATTTTCATCAGAATAGTCAAAAACACACATTTTTACACTGTTTGGTGGCAACTCTGGTGGGCTATTGAAAGGTGCTGGGGGGTCAATTCTCTTTTTATTTATGCTCCTTGGTGGGAGCTGGGGGCATCTTTCTCTCTCTCTTACCCCCACTTATCCTCCCCCAAGCAGAGAATGCTGCATTCTCCTAGAGAGCAGCCTCAGGCCCAAGCTCCTTTTCTTCGCTTTCTCAGCAGGACAGAGGCAGTGTACTCCCTCTTCCTCTCTTGGGCTCTCTCCTTGATGCAGGCAGCAGTGTGGGTATGGGGGTAGTCCTCCTAAGAATCCCACCCAGTTTTGAGCCCCCAAAGCTCCTGAGCCCTGATCTCTGTGCTTGGGGGCACCGTGGGAGTGGGGACATCTGACTTCCCAGGCTTGGATTCCTTGAGAGTCTCATTTGCTTCCTCACACCCTGTCTCCTTCACACCAGGGCTGTTTTATTGTTTTATAACCTTCTTTAGAGGTTTAGTTGCCAAAGATTCTGAAGGGGCTATTCTCCGCTTTCTCACTTTACCGAATCCCAAGTCTTGATGTTTTAAGCAGTTTGGTCACTTGCAAACGCTTCCCTTTCAGATCTAAGGAAATTATAAAAACCTCTAGGCATGTGGCTACCTTCAATTTTCTTCAAACTCATCCACAACAATACGGAGGGAGCCAAGTGTTAATTCCAACTGCCACTCCCACCCCCAAGCCCACCCAGCCTCTCTCTAACCACCTTTCTCTATTGAAACTTGAACAAAATCTCAAATTTCCAACTTCTGGTATAAGCAAGTAAGAAATGGCTTTTGACTTTCCCCTTTATCACATCTAGAGCTAGGAAATTATTGAAATAAAGGGGTTGATGGTACTCACAGTGAATGCAGCCAAAGAATCATAAGACATGCCCACCAACCAGCCTTTTCCAAATAGCACCATCTCCCAACTTAAACAGCTTCTCTGAAAAGATGCTATTTGAAAAGCCTGGGTATTGATATGAATATGACCTCCCTTGCATCTTGGATATTTGGAACTATTTAAATCTGAGGGAACAGTTGCAGCAAACCTTTATTTAGTGAATAAAAGTTTAAAGCCAAAGGTTATTTATGGTTCTGCAGAGATGAGACCTGAGTGGCTATTTACGAGCACGTGATTCCAATAAACTTTGTTTTATTGCTTGAGAGTTGACAAGCCAAAATATAATTCCCACCATAAATTAGGTTAAGAGCATACAAGTGCAGATGCTGTGTTCCTGGAGCAGCAATAGGAACGTGAGAGGCTCCAGCCAGCACCAAGCTAAGAAGGAGACAGTTCTACTCAGCTCCCCTGCCCACTAGGAAAGAAAAACAGTAAGTCACTTACTACTTTTTCCACAACTTCAGAGGTGTGGGATTTCTCTGTTCCTGACTTTTCTGCTTAGGATGGGGAGAAGTCTCATCGAAGTTTATTCTAATTTTAGCCTAAACCTAAATTAACAAATAGAATGAGCATCTTGATCTCTCATGCCCTCCCTTCTGGATAGGGACAGTTAGGAATTGAGGGTTCCCACCTCACGAGAGGGACTTACTGTCCCGCTTCTTCCCATAAGAGCATCTCCTTCAGAAGTGGAATAAAACAATGCTATTCTGGGGGGGGGGGGAAGAGAGGATGAGGGTAAAGATGCTTTGTCCCTGAGATTTCTGATATTGCTTTCTTATAATAATATTAGGAAAGACTGAAAACTTAAAACTGGACACCAGCCTCTGGGAGGACCATTGCTTTATAAGATTGTTTTCTGGGCTTTCCAGCAGCAATCCTGAAAAATTGTTGTCATACCCATAGAGCTGGATAACAATCTAAAGCATTGCCATTTACCTTTAAGCCCATTGATTTTCCTCCTTGGTTATCATTTGGGTCCTCATTTCCCCCTGGAAATTGCTCTTTGTTTTGAATTGGAGTAGAGGTGGGAAGGCAAGTCCCAGCCATGCCTGATTCTTCTTTGAGGAGGAGAAGACAGGTTTTGGGAACACTGGTTGGGGCTGAGGAATTTGAAATCAACCTGAAGCTGGAAAAGAAGGCTGAATTGCTCCCAGGGTGAGAGAGATAGGAAGCTGGGGTGAGGGGCAGATGGAGCGGCTACCCCTCCCCAGTGGACCTGCACCCACCCAGCCTGATTGCGCAGAAGGAAACACACAAAGGCCCATTTTCTCCTCGCTTCCCGTTTTCCCACTGGGAAAACCCTGTTACAGGCGGCCTGACTTGGGCCAAATAACCAGTGAGGTTTTGCCCAAGGGTGCATGGAATGGGGGAGGCAATGGAGACCGAATTCTCTCATAATCTTTCTGCTCTTGAGGGACTGCGATCTCCAGCTCCGCGGGGAACTTTCCGCAGTTCCCGGGGACGGGCACCTGAAGCAGGGAGGTCTGAGTATTGGTGGGGTATCTTGGCCTTGTCATTTTTCTGTGAGTCATATGTTTCTGCTTTGTTATCCTGTGAAATTTAAGTGACCCCCGTTTTCATTGCAACAGGTTCGGGACCATGAGAGAGCGCCGCTGTAAGTACCTTCCCGTTTCTTCCGAATCGCGAAGAGGCGGTACCGATGGCGGGGAAGTGGTGGGCTTAGGGCCGAGCCTGCGGAGTGGGCGGATGAAGAAAGGCCCTGCCTCCCCTACCCCACCCCAACCCCCACCCCGGGCCTAGCCTTGGGAGGTTAGCTCGCCTTGGGAGGTGGAGGCGCTAAATCCAGCTCCTGGAAAGCTTTTCTTGGGCCTGGTTCACAGACACCTGCCTAAGGGAACCGGCCGCGGCGTCTCGCCCTGATCTCCTTGAACCTTCCTGGACCTTCGTGGCCGGTCCCTGCTTAGCACAGGTGCAGCTCCTCCAAGACGGTCACTTCTGTTAAGAGCTTGCTATTTAGCAGCCTGTCCTATTAACGACCTGCGGCATCAAACCAAAGCAATAAACACCAAGGCAATGCGATCCCCTCCGCAGTCCAACCGTTCTTAGCCCGGTCCGGCCTGGCCAACCTTCTGTTTTTAAAAATATTAACTGAAAACAAAAACTCAATCCTCTGTGGCCGTGGGTGTGTTAAGTTGCCCTCTTCTGGGAAGGGCTGTGAATTCTGAGCTTTATGGGACATTCCCTTCCCCAACCCTCCCCCGATCTAGTTGCAGCCTTGCGGGCTCTGGGTTTGGGACACTGGCTGAACGAGGAGGGATACGGTCCTTCTTTTCACCTCTGCTTCTCTGTAACTGCAGTTGGAGGGTTTCCTCCCCAGAGTCGCTGTTGCTGCAAAGAGATATAGGAGGGTGGAGCGGGGTGGGGTGGGGCCAGAGACTCCTGGGGCCCTTGGCTTGGATGTTTGGATCTTTCTGAGTTGCCTGTGCCGCGAAAGACAGGTACATTTCTGATTAGGCCTGTGAAGCCTCCCGGAGGACCATCTCATTAAGAGGATGGTATTGGCGGGAGAGTCACAAAAAGAACTGTGGCCCCTCTCTCACTGCAAAACGGAGGCGATTTTATTTTAACGGGAGATAGAATATGAGAGGGCTGCAGCAACCAGGTACCCTCCTTCCTTCATGGTTGGAAAAGCTGGGGCTGGGCTCAGGGGCAGGTTTTTTTGGCCCCGCTGGGCTGGGCAGTCTAGTCGACCGTTTGTAGGCTGTACACACCCCTAGAGGAGCAGTTACCCCCTATACACCAGGCTGATCCAAGTGATATTGGCTCTGGGCCCCAGTCTGGAAAATCTGGTGTCCTGGGGACCCCCTGGTCTTGCTTCTCTCCTCCCCTGCACTGGCTTTGGGTGCTTATCTCTGCGGAAGCTGCCTGCTAGCAAACCCACATTCACTGCCCGGTAGCTGAACACAGCACAAAAAGCCCGAGAGATCAAAAGCGTTAGTATGGGCAGTTGAGCGGGAGGTGAATATTTAACGCTTTTGTTCATCAATAACTCGTTGGCTTTGACCTGTCTGAACAAGTCGAGCAATAAGGTGAAATGCAGGTCACAGCGTCTAACAAATATGAAAATGTGTACATTCACCCTGGTCCCCAGCCAGCTCAGCAGCCTCCCCCAATTTGTCTGGATAGAGCCTAGGCCCAGTGTCCCAGGAAGGTGGGTACGTGGGAGTCCTTGGCATTCAGGGAAACTGGGGGGAATCTTCAGGGACAAACAGATTCTGCAGCCTCATAGCCCTTGTTAGAATGGGCACCCAAAAAATCCCTACGAAAGAGGTAAAGTGATGGAACCAAAGGATTGGGGGTGTGTGCAAAGTGCCATGCCTGGAGGGGTAGTATTCCTGCCCCACCCCACCAGGCCCAGGCCTAAGCTCGAAGCTAATGTTTGATTTATGTGGGAAGTAGGAAGGGCAATTAAGACAGGAAAAAAAAAAAAAAAAAAAAAAAAGGAGCACCTTCAGCCCACAGTTAGGCGTTCAAAAGCCCCACTCAAGCCTGGGCATCCCTGTGCCCCTGAAATCCATCCAGGCCCTGAGTGAGTCTGCGCTCTCCATGCCCTGAACTGAGGGGCATGCCCTGCGCAGTGCCGAGGCACTGGGGCGGGTGAAATTTGTGAACTTTTGTACTCTTGTGTGCTGCTGTCGGCAAAGCAAAAATAATGAAACTTTGTGATATGTTTGTAAATGATTTCGAATGACCCCTCTCCCTGCCCTTCACCATTAGCGCGCCGGCCTCAGCCCAAGGCGGCTCGGTGCCTGTGAGCAGCGCCTGCCTCGGGGTCTGCAGCAGCCGCGGAACTGAGAGACCAGCCCGGCTCAGGGCCCATGAAGGTAAATGCGCGACTTCTTGGAGAAGTAGATTTGGCAGACAACCTGGCTTGGTCAGGCAGTAGGAAAAGCAGTGGACAGAGTATATTCTCCTCTTGCCTCTTTTCTTTCTGCCGCTGAGGGCATTTGTTCCTTTCTGGAAAATACCACTTGATAAGGGGGGGGTTATTTGGATCCTGAGAGGGGGGTAATAAAGCCGCCATCCCTGGGATGGATTATTTTTATTTCTTTTTTTTTTCCTTTCTTTCTTAAAAAGAATATTCTGGTTGCTAGGCTGCTTGGTAACCCTGACCCTGGCAAAAGAATGAGGGAACTCGTTGCTTCAAATTGTCGCCAAGCCCATCAGGCTACCTGAACTGTTTCAGAAAGTGCGGGTGGCTGCGTCAGGCGGTGGTGGCTCAGAGGAAGAGGCTGGGGCTGGCAGCGGCCTAGGCACCTCACTCTGGGTGGGACCCAGAGGTTGTAACGTTGTCTATATATACCCTGTAGAACCGAATTTGTGTGGTATCCATATAGTCACAGATTCGATTCTAGGGGAATATATGGTCGATGCAAAAACTTCACGTTTCTTCGGAATAGCCAGAGACCAAAGTGCGAAGTGGAGACTAGAAGCAGCCGACACTGGCCAGCCGCCTCTTTTTGTTTTATTACCTTGGACTCCAGGAGGATCAGCTGTGCCTGGTGACACAGAGCAGCATTTCCCTCTTCAGAAGCTCCTCACCTTTAAACAGAGGATCCTGTGGGTGCTGAAAAAGAAAAGGAAAGAAAGATGAGAGAGAAAGATAGAGAGAGAAGAAAAAGAAAGAAAGAAAGAAAGAAAGAAAGAAAGAAAGAAAGAAAGAAAGAGGAAAGAAAGAGAGAGAGAGAAGGAAAGAAAAGAAAAGAAAAGAAAAGAAAAGCCTAATTGGTTGCACGGATGCAAGACCAAAGGGCTAGGTTTGATGGTACTAGGGAGTGAGGTGCAAGGCCAGCTTGCCCAGTCCCAGCTCTGCCCTCCAGGGACATGAGGTGCAAAGGAACTCTAATGGGGCTGGCTGGTATTTGGGGCCCTCCTGTGGGAAGAAAGCAAGCTTCAAAGAAGCCCAATGGGGAGCTCTGGGGTGCATTTGAGCGAGTTGAGGGTACCCTCGCCACCATCCCAGCCCACCCCCAGCTACATGGGCAAGGGCAGTAAGGGCCTCTTGCCATTTCGGCAGGGCCTGGCTTCGGCTGGGAACACCCGGGCCTGGGCACTGGTAGAAAGCATGGTGGTTACTCATTGCCTAATTTGATTCAAGCTGGCCAGATTCTGGTAACTTTCGGGTGACCCTGATGAAGACAAAGCCAGGACGGCAGCCTTTGTATGGCAGAGTCCCAGCTCCCGCCGGCCGTAGGCTGGGCGGGCAGGCAGGAACCCTCCCCGCCTGGGGCACTCTGCCCAATTCATGGGCGACTTTGCCCACCCACCTTTCATTGCTCTGCACCCCAGTAGGAAGATTCATTCTCCCTTGAGCTGTGTCTATTTGGCTTGTGGGGGGGTAGTTGCTTTCAGCTGGGGGTGATTGGAACGGGGCACGGAAGGTTGGCAAAATCAGTGACAGACAAAAGCTGGGATTACCTGAGGGAACGGGGTGCTGGAAACTGGAACTACATTAATATCTGGCAGGGGCTCTCAAATGTGCCACAGCAAGCCACTTGATTACACGTATGTTATTTAGTTAAATTTGTAAAAATTATGAGATGCTCACCAACCCGGTGATAAACTTGCTCCCTCGCCATTGGCTGGCCTGGTCACATGGCCGCCCAACTTTATTCAGTTGACAGCAAGTAGGAGGGCCCTATGGAAGGAGAAAAAAAGACAACACGAGAAAAATTAGTATTTTCTACCTTCTGAAATTAATGGTCATGAGTTCGTATATGGTGAACTCCAAGTATGTGGACCCCAAGTTCCCTCCGTGCGAGGAATATTTGCAGGGTGGCTACCTAGGCGAGCAGGGCGCCGACTACTACGGCGGCGGCGCGCAGGGCGCAGACTTCCAGCCCCCGGGGCTCTACCCGCGGCCCGAATTCGGTGAGCAGCCTTTCGGAGGCGGCGGCCCCGGGACCGGCTCGGCGTTGCCCGCGCGGGGTCACGGACAAGAGCCAAGCGGCCCTGGTGGTCACTACGCCGCCCCGGGAGAGCCGTGCCCAGCGCCCCCAGCGCCTCCGCCCGCGCCCCTGTCTGGCGCCCGGGCCTGCAGTCAGTCTGACCCCAAGCAGCCGCCCCCCGGGACGGCACTCAAGCAGCCGGCAGTGGTCTACCCCTGGATGAAGAAGGTGCACGTGAATTCGGGTAAGACTCTGGTCTAGCAACCTCTCTGCCGGCATCCCAGCCCTTTGGCCTGGGTCCCCTGGAAGGGGGTGCGAGTAGGTGTGGGCGTGTGGAGCTTCCATGGGCGCCGCAATTACTCTCCCCATAAATTTTTATAGCTGAGGGAGCAGGCCAGGACCATGTGGCTGGCTGCTCCGCTGTGGGCGCAAAAGGGGGTGGGGATGGGGGTGGGGTGGGGGAGGACTCCATTTTCAGAGCAGGGGGAAGGCTGTGGAGGAGCAGGGGATTTCCAAAATGCTTGCTGGGTTGTTCCGGACCAGATGGTGGGCCTGGAAGAAAGAGCACATTTGGGGATCCCGCCCTGCAAGCCTGGGGTGTGTGGGTGTGTTTGAGGAGGTGGGTGGGAGTGAGCGTGTGCGCTGGGGAGAGGGTGGGAGGGAGGAAGCAAAGTGAGGTTGGGAGCACGCGGGGAGGTCCGCGCCAGGAAGTGAGCGTCGGAGGCGAGGGGCCTAACTAGTGGCCGGGCGCTGACCTGGCTGTCCTGTCTGTTTTGTCTCGCAGTGAACCCCAACTACACCGGTGGGGAGCCCAAGCGGTCCCGGACGGCCTACACCCGGCAGCAAGTCCTAGAACTGGAAAAAGAATTTCATTTTAACAGGTATCTGACAAGGCGCCGTCGGATTGAAATCGCTCACACCCTGTGTCTGTCGGAACGCCAGATCAAGATCTGGTTCCAGAACCGGAGGATGAAGTGGAAAAAAGATCATAAGCTGCCCAACACCAAAGGCAGGTCATCGTCCTCATCTTCTTCCTCGTCTTGTTCCTCCTCAACCGCCCCCAGCCAGCATTTACAGCCGATGGCCAAAGACCATCACACGGACCTGACAACCTTATAGAAGTGGGGACCCTGGGCCCATCTCTCCCTGCACACCAGGCTGAGCCGAAGCTGCGGGGGCAGGCCGGGCCTGCTGTCACCTTGCTGGGCTCTAAGGTACTGTGGGGTGGACCTGGGACTAGCAGGCCGCCCTCGGACTAGGTTAGCATCCTGCCCGAGGGCAGCCCCCTCCCTAGAGCGGGATGGGTATGGGAGGGGGGGTGGGATTCTCTCTCTAAGTATATTATATGGCAGGAGCTACTGAGAACATAAAATCTTGGCGAGTCATTAAACTCATGAAAATCACCACTCTTGGATTTTGAATTTGCAAATGAAGGTTGGGTGCTTTATCCCACTGTGAATTTGGACTTTCTCCCCCACTCCATCCCTCCAGGGAGCTTTGTGGCTTAATAATGTGGGGGAGTTGAGGCAGAAGGTTGGCCACCCTTGTGCTAGGTGCTTTCAGTGGAAGCCAGAGAGCTGGGTCAGGATTTCTGAACTTTCTGGATTGTCTATGGAATTTCATGTGATTAAAAAATATATATTTTGCTCCCAGTGGCCCTGTGTCCAAAGAAATGGGTCTAAGAAGGAAGTGAAAACGGGTTATTTTATGTTTAGATATTTGCTTAAATATTTATTTGTTGGGAAATGTGGTACAGAAAAAACCGACACCTTCATGCCAAAAATCTTAAAATGGTGAAAGGGGCTGAACTTCACGGAGCAGAATGAAAGATATGTGCACTTACTTCTGAACCCCACCCCCACCCTTCACCCCCGCTCTCTGGAAGTGTGTGTAGGGGCCCTTAACCCTTCCAGAAGGAAGCAAAGGATCCACTCAAAGTTGAGTTCCTGAAAATATATTTCCACATGTGCTTTTTTCAGCACTGTGCTTACCACCAGTTCTGGGTGATTAAAGGAAAGGGGAAAAAAGCAACAAATGGTCCAACATTTTCCTTCTGGGGAAAGAAAACAAAACCTCTATGCACTGGGTCGTTAGATAATGACTGAATTTTCTGATCCAACTGGATTTCAAATGCCCTGAATATCCCCACATAGCAGTGTTTTACAGGAACTGGTGTATGAACTGTGTAGGGGAAGAGTTGTGTGGTGGGGAGAAAGTGGGAAGGTGAGGAACTCTTACTTTAAGAAAGAAAGAAAAATAAACCTAATTGAATCTAGACATCCACAAAAGTTAGCCTTAGAGGTTTTTTCTCCTGAAGTTTTAATTTTTTAAAAAACCAAATCTAAGGAAGATTTCCTCAGCCCATTAATTAGAAGCAGAATATGTAAAAGTATAAAAGTTTTCAAGCACTCATCTTTGCCTTGAGAATAGTGCTTTTTTAAAAGAATCATTCTCAACAGGAGAGATGTTCTTTAGTCATTTTTCTTCTGTCTCGCCCGGGAAGGGTTCAAAGTTCATTTTTCTAAAATGCTGACCCTTAAGCATAAGGAGGAAAAAGTCAAAGGTAATGACCAGAGTTCATATACTTAGATGAAACAAGTCTTCCCAAGGCCTCAGGCTTGGAAAAAAGGGTTGTAGCTATCAAAAAGTGACCAAAGTGAAAGAGGGAGAAAGGGTAAGCTTAAAACTTAATTTTAAGATCCAGAAAGGGGATATTTTTTCAGTGCTTCAAAAACACTTTAGAAGGTTTCTGTGGTAATTTAAAAAATAAATTTAAGTGGGAGGGAAAAAAGAGTTTCTCTGTAGGCGTGTTCTTTGGCTGTGTCTCCTGAGAACTGAGGGCAGGTATTCACTGCAGTCCCTAGGCTGAAATTCCGCTTCTCTAAAGTGTCTTCCAAGCCTTGGTCTTTTGTATTAGACCCTAGGGACTGCTCTTTGTTCCTCCTTGGGGTGAGCCTGGCTCTCAGACTTGCACATGGCAATACTTGAATATCACCACGTCGAGATATTAAAGATGGATATTCCTGCATTATTCACATCATTGTTTCTATGACAAAAAGCACAGAGTTCATACATAGTCAAGACGTCTTTTTTCTGACGCCCTCACGTAGAGAAGCTGAAAAGGTATTTTACTGAAGTTCGGGTAAATTACAGAATCAGGTTCATCCAGAGGACAAATTTTCTATTCGATTAGCTGTATTTCAGCCGGGAGGACTGACCTCTAAACCCTTAACCTTTTGGACTCTAACTACCCTTCTTTTCTTTTTTCCTCTCTAACGTGGAGAGCAGTCTTTGGATGTACCGTTTGAAAGGAGCCGCTATCCTTAGGCAAGTTGGAAAGTTGCTAAGATTCTTTCCTAAAACTTTAATCTGTGTATTCATTAAACCTTCTCCTTGGGAAGGGGAAAAAAGTATATATTTTCACAACATCTGACTACATATATATTATAGAAATTTGTTATATAGATTTTCCCCCACCTCAAAAATTCAGGTTATTCACCCCCAGCTTCATACCAAATGCCACAAACACTTAACTGACTTCATCCCTGCCCCAGAGGAAAGCCAAGAAACATGTTTTCAGGAGGAAAACCCAAGCTCCTTCTCAAACAGCCCCACTACTTTGGAAAGTAACTTAATCAGAGAAACTTCTTTGTTTATAAGTCTCAGCTCTCCTTCTCAGCTTCGAGGGATTCT